GGTGCATTGACAAGGATCAGCGTGGGTGTGTTTGTTCAATCGGTCCTCATTGAACTGAACGTGGAAAGTCTGTGAGGTTGTATTTCCTCTTATTGAAGAATAAAAAATCCATTTCTGTGTAATTCTATTCTGTATTAGCACCTTTGCCGTACACAGCACAAATGTCTCGAATAGTTTTAGTAGCTTGAAATCTTGATTGAAAGTGAAGAGAAGCAAATGTCAAAAATGCTCATTTTTGTCTACTTGACCCTCCATTAATGTGTCGGAAAAGCGCTAAAATTCAAATTAAAAAAATACAAAACAAAAAACAATAAAATAAATGTTGTGGAAGAAGAATAGATCTTGATAAAACCTAAACACCAGGGAAATATATATTTTACTTGTTAATTCAAATGGCATTGGAAGAAAATAGACGGAGAATTCATAGGGTACAAAACAGTAATGGAGACTAAGATCATCTTTATTAAGTCTGTTGACTTGCAGTTGGGTTCGTGGAAGGAATTTTCTCTTCCTGAACTCTTCAGCTGGAGGGACGGACCATGCAAGATTCTCTACGTGTGGTTTACTACCAACCTCCAGCTGGAGAGAAATTGGCCGGAAGTTTATAGTGAATTAGCCTTTCCTAATTCCAGCAAGCGTGAATGCAGTTCTGGCTTGACGCGTAGTGTTGCCTGCTTTCGAGACTCGGCCATTCTTTCCTCTGGTTCATAGTGACGTAGACGCGCCATTTTTTCATGAGGGTGCGGCAAAGAAATCCCTGTTTGTGTCCACGAGTGAGTCCTGATATCAAGCGAGTAAACTGGCAAAATGGAGTTTATCTTTTTGTTCAATACATGTGGCACACATGCATCGAGTTTTTTAACCTTAGCTATCGTGTGAAGATGACGGGCGGTGGTATCATGAGAGTATCCCGTCTGCTAAGACAATTCCCTAACGGATTGGCGCGGATCCTTGTAGATGAGCTCGTTCAATCGGTCCTTTTTTAACTGAACAGGTACGCGGAGAGTCCCCTTCTTGAAGCTTGAAAACCATTTCTCCTCTGCTCTTCCTGTAATAGCATCTTCTCCGTACACAACGCAAATTCCTCTAGCAGCTTTGGTAGCTTTGGAACCTTGATTGAGAGCGAAGAAAAGCAGGTGTCGAAAATGTTCATTTTTGTCTGTTTGGCGCTACACGGTCATGTGCCTGAAAAAAGGTAAAATTCAATCGAATTTTAAAAAAATGACATAGAAAAGTTGTAGAGGAAGAACAGAGCTTTTTTAAAAAATCATTTCTGGTCAGACTTTGGCAAGTGGGTTATATTTTAAAAAATAAAAATAAAATTTTCATTTATTTTAAAAAAAATCATTTCACTCTAAGCAAGGCAATAAAGCCATTGAGACACAAGGGATTACTGAGTGTGAGAAAATATGAGGAAAAAACATTATGAAGGCGAGAGAACAATAAAAGAACAAGAATTAAGAAGACAGACGATAACGATTGACATTGCATTTAAATGTTTGAAGATCAAAGTTGACTGGGAAGCAAGAAGCCAGAAGAAAGTTCCACACGCGAGAAGTGCGAGAGAAAACCCACCATGTCAGGTACACTCGAACAAATCTTGTTTTTGTTTTTATTCCGCTAGTAAGAAGGAAGTTCCATTTAGACAGCTTCTTCCCAAGAATAGCTGTTTTGTGGAGCAAACTCCCGGGAGGATGCTAGCTGGATCATTACAATCCTAGACACATCAAATCTAGGGTTAATCGTTATCTTTCCTGCATAACTTAAACTACAATGCTTACCTCCTCCTCTAACGTGCAACAAGCTCAATCAGTAAGCCTCTACATTGAGTGGCTCATGGTCATTAGACTAGTTGACCAATTAGCAAAAAAAATAAAAAATAAAAAATAGATAAATAAATTGCGCTTGTAGATTTGTCATAGTTTGCATTTACAAATAAGAACTGCATTGCCGAGTTGTTAGAAAGTTACCTTTCTGAACAAGGTACCTGGGTTCGAATCTAGCTGTGGTCGTTTTTTGCAGATATTTTTACACTTGGTAAAGTCGATTTTTCTACTTGGTAAATTTGAGCCACCCACTCTTTCACACACACACACACACACACACACACACACACACATACACACACACATATATATATATAAAGAATTAATGTATTTATTTTTAATCCATCTGATATTTTTATTACTTCTAACGTTATTATAGTGGTTAAAATTTGTTGACCCCAGATGCAGATTCTGTGATAAATATCCAGAAACAATTGACTATCCTGTATCATGTTTCACAGCGTTAGCACCCACTGAATATAAATGATAGAGTGGGCCAATATCAGCACTGGAAAAATCTGCAAGGAAACAGCAAGAAATTGGTATGAACATCACCCAGGCCCAGTTACAGAGGCAGGACCTGTAACAATTTTATGGAACTTTACAATACACACAGGCAGAACAATCAAAGCTAATCGACCAGAGATCGTGATCAAAGACCATAAAAACAGAATGTGCTTTCTTATTGATATGGCATTTGAAAATGTCATGACCTTAGTTCCCTGTTTGGGACCAGAAAGGAAATGTGTATACAGCGGAAATCAAAGAAAATAATAATAATAATAATAATAATAATCAGAAGAAGAAGAAGAAGAAGAAGAAGTCTAAGTTAGCTTATAAATTATGACAAAATCATTCATGTAGTTTCAAAACAGTGCAATTCGGTTGTAAACTTTCTTAGATCAGCTCAAAGCAGTCCCACGTACTGTGTGGCGAAAGGAGGTTCAATAATGGCATCACACACGAAAAGAAAACTTTTTTTAATGAATTTATTTTATACGGACGCTGTCGTAGGTTGCTTTGGATTCTAATTAGGTTAAAGAAAGACCACAAATTGGTATAATTTTTTTCGGTCTCCAGAAAAGAGACCCTAAAAAAATAAAAGAACAACAAAAACAAATCAGTACTTTCAGTTTTCAGTCAGTTAAAAGGGTCGGCTAAAAGAGACTTTCACACGGCCTTGTCTTTGACAGGCGAACCGACATCTACTGATCGTGTTGACACACACACATATATACATATATACATATATATGTGTATGTGTGTCTCTCTGTGTGTATATATATGTATGTATGTATACGTGTGCGTGTGTGTATTAAGAAATATACACAATATCTAACATTAATGTAAGATATTATGTATATTTCTTAATGTATATATTAAATACCTCTGTTACTTAATATTGAGCACTGTTTTTTGTTACACTATAGAGTATTTATATGTATTTCTATACGATCACCTGCTCGTATAGCTAGCTTTATTTACCCATTCGGTTATATATATATATATATATATATATATATATATATATATAGAGAGAGAGAGATAGATAGATAGATAGATAGATAGATAGATAGATAGGGAGATGAAACACTGAAAATTCTATGTTGTTGTTAAACTACCAATATGCATCCGTTCGTTTATTTTTTTTGTATTTGTCGGTATTGTTCAGTAGTGAATAAATCTTGGTATAGACTCACAGAATATCATTCAAGAACACCGAAACTTTATAGTCTCCCTAAAACACACAAAACAGGTATCCCGATGCACCATATCATCTCAGGAATAGACACGCCTCCCCAAACTGGCGAGATATATATATATATATATATATATACGTATATTTTTGTGTATATACCGACCTGAATAGATAAAAGTCTACAACCAAGCTGAGCAATATAAATTCTACTTAGAATTCATTTTAACATGCTTAGAAACTTGAATAGTATAATAAATAACAACTCAAACATTTCTTGTCGAGCGATTTCAATACGTGTTTATGTATATACTGGGTGTAAGAGCAAAATTGTCCAGTTATTAGATTATCTTTGAACCGTTGTATCTTAGAAATGATTACTGGAATTCTCCATAGTTTTTATAATACTATTGGACTCTACTTTGAAGAATAAAAATGTATAATTACTCTCTAAGCTTAACAGAAGTATCGTGATAAAATTGATCATAAACGAAAATGACATCATTAATTAATCATAGCTAAGGTTCGGAAGCTCATGAAGTATTGAAATAAAGTTCATATATATATTATTCCAGGATCATTTTCCAACTTATTCAAGATGATCTTCGCCCTTGCTAATCTTCTAACTTTTGTCCTGGAGTAACAAGGTGCCTCATACGTTTCACGTACAATTTCATTTCTAGTCTTTTTTCAATGCACTTTGGACTGTCATATCTGAAACTCCTCTTTCTCTCTCTCATACCAAACATGTTGTGGATTGAGTTGGATCTTTTCTAATTGATACCTTTAGCTCTAAGTTGAAATGATCCTTCTTCCTGTTTTAACCTTATGATCCAGTTTTCCTCTTCACTGTTCTTTCTTTTTAAACCTATTCACCGTTTTCTTGATTGTTCTTGAATTGACTTGAAGATGGAAGCGAGAGTATGAATGTTGGTAACATTACTGAAGACATGAATGATCTTTTTCCTGTAATCATTGCTCAATTGGGAAGACACACACAAACAAAATTTAAGCTGTTCTCTTTCTAGCTGAATAACTCAAAGGGTTTTTCAGTGATTTTTACGAAAAATGGTGCCAAGATGGCTAAACGTTTTATCTGAAAATCCGGAAAAAAAGAAACTGAATTAGTTTAGTGTTTTTTTAAATATTAAACATTTTGTGAGATGGATAATTATGCCTTTGCATGTTTTGGACAATTTTGCTTTTACATATATATATATATATATATATATATATATATATATATATATATATATATATATATATATATATATTTATATATATATAACTGTGTGTGCATTTGTGTGTGCACCCGCCCGTGTATGTCTGCGCGACTTTGTATCTGCCTGAATGAGTGCGTGTGAGATTGTGTTTGCGCCAATGTGAATGCTTCTGTATGCGAGCTTTGCCACTGAAGGAAACAGGAATGTTTTTGTTTTTACTCAATAGACAGGGTTGACATGAAAATCAGCTTTTAGGTCAGTTTTTTTTCCCTTCCCACTTCTCTCTCTCCCTTTCCTTTATCTGTCCCTCCATCCCTCCCTCCTTCTTATTCTCTCTCTCTCTCTCTCTCTCTCTCTCTCTCTCTATCTATCTATCTATCTATCTATATATATATATATATATATATATATAGTGTGAGAGAGATAATCCTTGAGTTTTCTGTGTATTTCACCCTCTTATAATTCGCTGTAAAGGGAATCGTTGTGTGGTGTCGGCTGACGTAATTGTCATGTGATCGGTCACGTGAGAACACATGACGTTAAATCGGGTTTGGTTATTGCCTTTGGTGAAGAGAGAGAGAGAGAGATAGAGAGAGATAGAGATAGAGAGTAAGAGAGAGATAGAGAGGGGGGAAACTAAGTAAATAAATAGATACATGAATATATAAATATAAATTTAAATCTTAACATTACCAATTAAATTCTTTGACAGTGACGGCTCGTACGAGCACCCACATCCCCTTTCCAGGTTAACATGGGACAGCAGAGAGAGAGAGAGAGAGAGAGAGAGAGAGAGAGAGAGAATCTTCTGACTTGACTTATTCAGAGAAGTGGATTCATGCTTTTCCTAATAGCACTTGAGTGAAATCAGTACAAGCTATCCCAGGATATATATATATATATATATATATATATATGTGTGTGTGTGTGTGTGTGTGCGTGTGTGTGTGCGTGTGCGTGTGTGTGTGTATGTGTATTGTTATTAAATGTGAAATAGCATTGATTAGAGATGCGACAGCAGATTTTTATTATTTTAGCTATTGGTAGGGAGATGTTTATCTTTGATTGTGTTAGATGCTTTTTAAAGAGATTTAAGCATTTTCCACCCGGGACATTATTGTGAAGTGATTCTATATCTAGACTAGATTTGTTTCTCTTAGCTTTTCAACAAGGTTGCCTGAATTTTTTTATATAGCTAGTTTGTGGAGCGGTGCTGGGTGTGGGTGGCGCTACTTATTTCTGAAATGACGGTGCGCATAGGAATATCAGTTTTGTGGGTCTTTTTGTGTGAGACTGTAAAGTTTGGATGTTCTAGGGTGAGATTCTATGGGCCTATACCACGATTTGTTTCCATTTTTAATTAGTTTCATTATTTCCTTGTTGAATTTTTGTTTCAATAGTTATTTATTTTCGTATGTGTCGGTATCGTTGAGTATTGGGTTAATTTTTTTCTATTTATGTAATCCTGTTTATGATCACAACCTCCACTCCCTTGTCAGAGGGAGTGATGTGGATTTCCTTGTTTCTCGCCAGGTTCTTTAGTGCATTTAGGTGTCTCAGTGGTCATGTATTTTCGTTGAAAGCTTCATCAAATTACATTTCAGTTGCATAAAATCACTTCTCAAGATTCGCTACTTTGGGGAACAGACTCCCGAGAGGATACTTTCTTGATCACTAAAATCTCAACCTCTTCAAGTTCAAAGTTAACAATTATCTTACCTGTATATTCTCATAAACTTCACTTCTTACCACCTCCACTTAAGCTTATTCAACAACCTCAATCAGTAACCCTCTAACTTAAGTGGCTCTTGGGCCTTGTATGGAGTAAACAATTAGTAAAAAAATGACAAAAAATATGCCACAACAAAATAAATAGATAGAAAACATACTTGGGTTATTTCATCTTAAATTAACCAATGGCTAGAGGTGTGCCTCTCGGGAAAACCTTGCAAAATTCACTGGTGTTCCTTAATCAAAATTATTGATAAATCCGAAATAGTAGAACAATATATTTAATAGTTTAGCAAAATGTAAAATTTTTAAAAAAATGTAGTGAAATTTCAAGATTCACTGATTTTAAACCAATAAAAAAAACAGATCTAATATTAAGGAATAAAACATTATTACATTAAAATTATCGGGGTACTAACTTTCAGCTTCATATTTTCTTTAGCATCAAACTTTCCAAAATTAACAAAACCATGATTTTGTTTATGACAAGTTTTTTAGGTTTTAACCCTAGACAGAAGTTTGTCCCTAAAACAAAACTTCTGCATCATGATCTTCAGACATGTAAGAATCTGTAGTAAAAATATGAAAATTTTCTTAAACTGCCTGACTGGTCTGCTGATGTCATGAATAGGGAATTCTAAGAATGTTAAAAAATTGAACGATTTTCAAATAGTGATACTGACATTCCTATAACAGAAATTAATATTGTTACTATATAGAAATAATTTATTATGTCATAAATGAAAGGAAAACTAATTTGGATGCTGTATCTGACATACTTTGTAAAGGAGAAGCTCTCAAATTGGTCAGTGTCTTTTTGCATTTGGGCCATTTTCGGTTCCTTATAGAAATAAAGAAGTACATAAGACAGCCATATTTTTGTGATCTACGGTAAACATTATTGTCACCAAGTTTCAGATTTGTACACGCAATATCCTTGGAGCTATGAATGTCTAGAAGTTTATTGAATGCCTTATTTATCAAAACACAAAAAATGCAGTGAAATTTAAATGTTCTGATTTTAAAATTATTAAAGATGCAGATCTAATATTTGGGATTTGTCAATAACTTTCATCAAGGTACACTTGTAAAGGTTTTCCAGATTTTTCTGAGATGGTCACCCGTGGCCGTTGGTCGATTTAAAATAGAATGACCCACTTAAAAAGGATTAGAAAAAACATTTTTCAGTAAATAGCAATTTTTAGGATAACATTATTACATTAAAATATAGAAACTATAAAAGAGTCTCCTAACATTAACTGACTCTTAGTGGGATCCGCAAACAAAGGAACGGTGTATTATTTAAACAAATAATGAATTTAGATAAAAATTGCACAAGTGGAATGATAGAAAAAAAATGACAATTAATTTTGTATGCTACTTCATTACTCTAATTCAGAGAATTGCCGCACCTCCAAACTTTATTCACAGGGTAGACCGCACCTCTCACCTACTTCTAGGCTCGCCAATGTTTTTAATATTAGAAAATATCGAACGAGTTACATTCCTTAATGCCACTAGCTCGGGCCTTCACACCTGTAGGATCCGCCATGTTGTGTTCATTGTGTCAGACTATTCCCATTCCGTTCGTGCTCATTTGATAAAATACAAGTTCCACTCAGACAGCATCTTCCAACGAACTGTTACTTTGGAGAACAAACTCCTTAGAGAATGCTTCTCTAAGAACTACAATCTTGATCCCTTTAAGTCCAGGGTTAAGACCTACTCGTCCTCAAAATACTCTCTTACTTTCCCCTCCCTTACACTCTTATTCAGTAATAACTCTACTTTGAGTGACCCTTGACCCTTGGATTGGGTGAACTATCATTAAAAAAAAATATCACGATTCTGCAGTAAATTCACACCGTTTGATTTCCGCTCGTAGACATTTGGTACAACCTTAGGTGATTTGACAAAATGAAGAAGGAAAGAAATATGAAAAGAAGACAACTCGAGATAGAGGAAGAAAAGTGAGGAATGAAAGGTAGAAGGAATATTTCTAAAGAATTAATGAATTTATTTCTAATTTGACACTTTTATTACTTCAAACGTTATTTTTAATGGATAGTGTATGAAATAGAAAATCCGTTTATTTTATTTTAAACAATACGTCTATCATCCTGCGGAAGAAAAATTAATAAAGATGTATTTTCTCGCTATGATAGACATAAATACACATTGTTTAACATAATATATATATATATATATATATATATATATATATATATATATATATATATATATATATATATATATATATATATATATATATTATTTTTATTAGTATAAACGTTATATTTAATGGCTACACGTGTATTTGAGTTAAATCCCGACAGCTTCCTGAAGTGAAGTATATTTTTCTTTAGAAGTCTTTTCTCTAGGCCAGTTGACATTAGTTGCACTGTTAAAAAACACAGATGTCATCCCAAACACGTATATTTACAAAGTATAACATTTATAGTAAGATAAACTATATATGTGTTTTGTAAGAACAGATTTTAAAATGATTTTTTATTCATGCAACAGATTTTTTATCATTTAAAAAGTTATTATTAGTGAATACTTGTATTTGAGCAGGTTCTCCGTTTATTTATTAAACAATATATGTAGTCTTTTTATGTTCGAGAAATATTATTAAAGATAAATTTACGCTGTACGGGAGGAATATGAACCTGAGTTCCTCAGAGTAGAGGGAGCCACCGTTTAGCGCGATGCGCCTTATCGCTTGGTCACGAAGAATCAGACAGTCAGGCGATGTCAGTTTTATACTTTTCAAGCGAAATTTCTCCTGTCAGATCTTTCAGAGGTTTTTCATATCTGCACCCAGTTTTGTTTCCAAATGTACACAGAAATAATTTTAGAATAGATTTTTATTAATCCGACAGATGGTTTATTATTTTAAGCGTTGTTATTAGTGGATGCTGGTATTTGAGTAGGTGCTCCGTTTAGTTATTAAACAGTATATTTATTTATTTTCATTTACCCGCCTGAATTATCGAGAAATCTTATTAAAGAAAAAATTCCGCTCTTCACTGTTTAATAAATAAACGGAGCGCCCACTCAAATACCAGTATCTACTAATAATAACATACGAAATCATAAAGAATAGTTTTATATTGTATACAGTATTATTCATATATATATATATATATATATATATATATATATATATATATATATATATAAAATTATTTATTTAAAAATATGATTCCAACACGCTACATAAGAGTTCTCATGTTTCGAAACAAGAGCCGAAAACTTCAATATAATTATTTGAATTAAATTGAATTAAAGTACTAAGCTCTGTTCCATCTTCAAGCGAAATTTTTTGGGGGAATCCAAAAAATTTGATTCCATATTTATGCTCTACTTTTGTATCGAGCACTATTTTTAAAAAATAATAACAAAAATACTAAAGAACTTTGGATTATTTACCTAACGAGTTCTTTCCTATTTTTATATATTTTCACACACACACACACACACACACACACACACACACACACACACACACACACACACACACACACACACACACACATATATATATATGTATATATATATATATATATATATGTTGAGATCATACAAATATCAAATTTGTCACGACTGATTGATATTATATTCTTCATACCGACTCCAGAGTTCCGTACATGAACTGTTTTGTGATCGTTCGGTCCACTCATC